TGGGTGGGCATTGCTGGATGGGTTTGCAAGAGGCAGGCATCAGATAGTCGGGCTCTCCCGAGATGGAAGGGGTCAAGTTACAACCAGTTCCACCACTTCACGCCAGGGCTCCTCCACCGGGATGGTTAACCTTCCCTTCCCTGTGAGAATCTGGCTAGAGAGAGCGGGGTCTTCAGCTATCGCTGGCAAAAAGGTGGCACTGGGGAAAACCCCATTCAACCACACGCAACGCATGTTAAAAATCTCGTGGTAGCTCGTTATTCCTGCAATTTGCTAAATGACATTCATAGCCCCTTCTACTTTTCTACAGGCTGATCTTCCTGTTACAGCTTCTTTAACCCTTCTGCTATTTGGAGATGAAGAGTCCCAGAATTCCCTCACCTCTCTCATGACACAGAGACGACCAAACCTTTGCGCAGCCACAAGCCACATTCTCTGACCAGGACAGATGTCCTCACTTACCTTTGAGAAGAATTGCAACAGATCCCACGGCTAACAGAGCGCCAGACAGAGCACCAGCTCACTTGGCCCTCTCTGAAGTCAGCAAGAGCATCAGCTTCTTCATATGCAAGCAGATAACACACTCTCCTTGTTGGGCTTGCACAGAAGTGGCGAAGCACTGCCTGCTGCCAAACCTCTGCCACCCCTGACAAGCTCTGCATGGGCTGGGATTTCCATTTCACCTCTACTCAACAGGGGAAGGAGGGCAAGGATGAACAAATCAGGGGCTTTAGGGGTGCTGGTTTTATTTTGTTTCTTTGAACAGCAGGGTTTCTTCTTTTTTTTTTTTTTTCTTCTTTTAAAGAAAACAAAATCAAGATTCTGGAGTGTGGTTTTCAGACCTGATGGCATCTAACAGCTGTCTTTTGTTGTGAGGAAGTTAGTCAAGTCTGAGACACTAGCGAGGACTGTCTGACAGAGGAGTAGCTAGCAAGTCTAGCATGATCTAAATATACTCCACAATGTTTCAGACAACTACCCCTAGACAACAAGGAGTGTCAGAACAGACTCCAGGCTTGTTGTCAACTCCAAGATGGGGAGCTGATATAAGCCACAGATGGCCGCTTGTGCCACAGAAGAGAAGACACTGGTGGTGAGGAGAGTGGAGAAAAGTAAAAGTTGTGATAAAAAGCAAGGGGGAGATCCCTGGAGAAAGCCTCAGTGACCCTGTTGCAGTTGAACTGGAAGACCTGGAATAGCAGCAGCTAACGCAGAACAGCTACCTTCCCAAGCAGTAAATGCAATCCCACACATTCTCTTCCCTCCACCTGCCAATCTTTAGGAAGAGCCAGCAATCTAGCACACGCAAAATACATCAGGATACTCCTGCCATTTTATCATAGCTGGCAGTCTGCTGCCTTAGACAACAGCCTGCTTAGCTGATGCCTGGAGCCAGTCTTCTAGAGCACCACTCTTGGATAGCTAAACCCCCACCTTCCCCTCCAGAGACACCCTACCCTCTGTATGTGGAGCCGGTGGAACTGGTCGGCAATGCACTGCAACTTCCGTGCAATCTGCACCTCAGCACGCGCTTCCCGCTGACCTTCCTGAGGCTCCTCTTCGAGGCGCGGATCCAATGCAAAGCCAACTGGAGGGACATGTAAACGGTAACCAGCATTCCCTACAAAACAGAGATCAGAAGAGTCATTCTTCCAGCGCAAAGCATAGCTCTTCCACTCAGTCCACTTTATGGAGGAAAGAGCTGCACATAATCCTAAATTTTTGACTTATGTTGAAGTCCAGTTCCTGAAGCCCAAACAATGACTGTACCATAAGCATGCAGTTCAACATCTGTTCAGCTTTGAAGTAGATTTATATCAATTAAGCAGAGCATCGTGTTGCTTCCTATCATCAAATGACTGGCAGGATCTTACACTTGGTTCCTTTTGCTTGTTTATAGTTCAGCCAAGTGCTGATTTTTTTTTTTTTAATGACAATTTTGCAGTTTTACAAGATCTCTGCCTCAAGTTGTCTCCCATTAAAGGTTGCTGTATCTTTTCTGTCATACTTTTCTCAGTTCCCTGGCATTTAGTGGGACTGATTTGAATTAAAGCTGAATCAGATACACAAAGCTGAGTGGTGTCCTATCAGTTACTAGTAAAATACTGGATTGACATGCTACTTCTTCAACAACTTCAACTCCAGTAAAGAGCCTAAAAGCTGTCCCATTAAGTACAAATTTTTGCATTTTCCTCTCTCCACTGAAAACATCTAGGAGTCTTCCTGTGTGGATGAGACAGCACTAGAAGTTAAAAAATGTAGGCAAATCATAGGATACGAGGTATGGTGAGCACTTAAACGTCTAGCAGTAAAATAAAACATGACAGAGTAAAGCCAAAAAGAAAAAGAGTAGGAATATCAAGGACAGCGGAAGCAATGAGCAAGCGCCTGGTTCCTGTGGTGGACAAGCATGGGTAAGAAAATGCAAGCTGTCTTTCCTGAGGGAGTAGGACCAAAGCGAAATAATTTTCAGTCCTCTAATAAAACACCCTAATGAAAGAAACCCTGCTTGACTGGGGAAGTGCTAAAGGGACAGTTTCCTTGTTGGTAAGTAAAGCCGGTGACACTGGAGTGCTCTTACCATAGAAGAGTCTCCGGGGCTCTTCAGTGACTCCACAAGGCAACATAACATCCTGACTGGAAGAGGACGGGCTGAGTGTTTGAGTTGCCTTGTCCTGCTGCTCAGGATGCCTGATACCGGGACCACAGCAGTGTGTGAGGGGGAATAGTTGAAACCTCCCCAGAAGGCAGCTGTAGGACTGGTTCTGTGTGAAAATGCCAGTTGCAGTCATCTCACCAGGCTGACCTGCAAGTCCAAAGTCATCAGAGTGAAACACGTCATCGTCCAGCCCATCCAGGCTAGAATAGTCCTCTTCCAGGTAGCTGGGGCGATCCATTGCTCCTGCAATAAAGGGACATTTGAGGAAACAGCTAAGACACAACAAGAATGTTATCCAAGAGAGAATGCCTTCTGCTCCAACAATAAAACACAGTTCTTTTTCCCACGCCTGCCTGCCTGCCTCCCTCCCTCCCAATGCTGCCCATCTGCACGGGCAGGAGAGGCGAGTGACTCAGTGGTGAAGGTCAGGGTTTTGTGGAAAGTCCTCGAGTGTTGGGCCAGAGGGAGGCAAACTTCACACATGTCTACGAGTCCACCCACAGCTCCAGTTCCACAACTGGTGACAAGGAGGGAGCCAATCCCCAACCTCAGCACACAGAAACTGAAGACATTGTTTTAAAACACAGCCCCAATCCTTCAAATTGCCCCATGGCCAGTCAGCTTCTCTGGGGTCTGCTTTGCTTTCGCCTGCCGTATTTGAACTTCATGGTATCCCCATTCACTTTTTCCCATCTATTACTTATTGATGAAGAAAAGCGCTTGTAATCACAAGGCTGCAAGGCCGGACTTCTAAGAAACCCCAGTGGCTGCAAAACTCAAGAGCTGGCAAAGCCATTTCTGTGAAGCTCTCCATAACTTCTCCCTGTAAGGGCCAACTTTCCTTTCAGCTTCTCATTTCTTCCCTCAGCTCAACTTAAGACATGTCCCAAACTTGGCAACACAGTCACTTCATTACCCCTCTTACCCTAAAGCCTACATGCACTGTTAGTGCATTAGTTCATGCAACTACTACAAAAACAAAACAAAAACATTGCTGGTGTCAGTGTCTAAAGCAGGACTTCTGTAGCTGCCACAGTAAACACTCCTGAGCTCGGTCGCAGCACAAAGCTGGACAAAGATGGTGGAGGGGAAAAAAAAACCCCAATAAACCCTAAATCACTATTTCAGAGCTCTTTGCAAACATATAGCAATTAGATTTACCAAAAAAGCCACAAGTCCCTTTACTGTTACCTGTGCATCTAACCCAATTGGAAGACAGTCTCCTAAGAGATCCATCTCCAGGATTTCCACCCAGTTCCAAACAAGGCAGTGAAATTCAACTCTTCACGTCTCTTCCTTTGCTCTGGTTTGCGAAGCATTTAACAGAATGGAAGACTAGCAAGAGGAATTTCAGGCCTGAAGGAGACATTAATAATAATTATATACGGATGTGTTCGGTGCTCCCTTTGCTGCTCCCATCTCCCCCCAGGTGAGCAGCACTCACAACACCAGCAGGCTAGAGGAGGCAAAGGGATCCAGCGGTGCAAGAACCATTGGTGCAGGGCTCTAACTCGGGGGCACTACGGTTATTTGAGTTGTTGCATCTCAGCAGTTCGCTCAGCCCAGCCGCAACTCCCGAAGAAGAGTTTGCAGAGCAGAACAGGTACCAGCCCCACAGCTGGTCCAGCTGCGCTGGCTGACAGCAGCGCTATCTTGGCATATCGCTTGTAGGAGTCTCATCCATGGCGCAAAGTAGCACACCGAAAGGAGTTACAGGTCCCGAGACGCAGGCATGGATGATCTCCTGCCAGCTCTGCCGCTGGATCGCGATCAGCTGACAGAAAGGCAGGGCGATAACGTATTTTGTCTTTGCAGCAAGATTTGCCAGATCTCATCCGTCAGAGCCCCACTGGGACACGGGCGTTCAGCGCAAGAAAGCGCAACAAAGGCGCAAAGCTGGCCGGCAGACCGAACCCTGAACAAAAGAGGGTTTAGAGAGCAAGAAGTTTTACTCGACCTCCCACAACACGCTCCGACTTTTTTCCAGAGCTCCTGGAAAAAGCCGAGGAGCTGCCGAAGCAGCGTAAGGGGGAACT